GATTCAAGAACAAATCTCTGTTATTAGATCAGTACTTTTCTTATATGACTATTATTGCTAAATTTGAAAGGTCTTTACCAGCTTTGGAATTATATATATATATATATAGCACCTTCTGCCATCCCATCTCTACTGACAATCATTAACACTTAGATTTTATGATATCGTAAGCATCGTCAGTGATTGACTTGAACACTGAGAATGTATTTATTAACTTCAGACATTTTCATATACAAATGTGATCATACACCAACACACTTTTTAGAGATATACATTTTTCACACACAACGCACAACCATTTACTAAATTAAACCATATCCCATCATAATACGAGCAAATAAAAAGGCACAACAATAAATATATTATGTGTGTGTGTGTGTGTGTGTGTGTGTGTGTGTGTGTGTGTGTGTGTGTGTGTGTGTGTGTGTGTGTGTGTGTGTGTGTGTGGGGGGGGGGGGGGTTGTTAAGATCCAGGTCCAATGGGGGCAGAGGGGAGAGGTGGGTTCAGCATCCTACAGGAAATGTAATTTGCATGTAATATTATTTATTAATATGGAATAATTTAACTGGAGTTTGTTATCGTTTAATTTTGCTTGATTAATTATATTGCAGGTTGTGGGTAACAGCCAGTCCCTGTTTCATAAATGAGTTCAAGTCCTTTTTTCTGTCCCTTAGAAAAATACAATCTTGTAACCTGTCTATAAAGATTTGCAATGACATTTCCAAATGGTTATTATTTTAAGTAAGCTTAATGCCTCTTAAATGTTTTTGTGCCTTTATGCTTTTTTCTTTCCCCCTGGCTCTTACTGGATGTATTATTTATGTTTTTTTGTCTTATTGTGAATGAATGTCTTGAACTTATGTTGATAAATTGATGATATCCTCACCGAGCTTTTGTATGTTTAAAAAAATGTTCAATAAAAAAAAATAAATAAAAAAAAATGCTTAACAAGGGACTTTCCTATCAAACAGACAGACAGGTCTCACACCAACCAATGAGACTCCAACATGCAGACCACATGCTTCAACATCAGGACGTTTATAGGCTGCTGCTCAGACCACAGGAACCACCATCTGCCAATCCTGGCTGCAACAAGACAGCCGAGTTGGAAACGCCCCCTCTGTAACTTTAGTTGTGAAATACTCATGTTGTTCATCCATGATATAATCTAGAAAACGGAACTGTAAGCACTGAGGTCTCCGCAGTCTCAAAGCTTTACAGGTAAGAAGTGAACACATGTTTATACTTTATTAAGGAAATGCATCTCACTGCTGATTTATGTTTCTCTCCTGTTGAACCTCTTATAGAGAACATGCACCACATTCAACTAAAATAAGAGAACGAGTTGGAAAGATATTGACTCAGAAACAATCCGTGTATCTTCGGACCATTTGTTTTTCTTCATTAAATCAGTAAACGGAAGAGCGACTGAGACGCTTTTTAACTTTTTGCTTTTTAACTTACTAAATAGTGAAATGGTCATTGGAGCGGGGGGGGGGGGGGGGGCGAAACTCACGGAAGTGATATCAAAACAAAAGCACTCGTTTGCTTAAATAAACTTGCATTGAATCACTACAGTAGGCTTATCAGGTGATAATATTATAAACCAGGGGAAACAAGGTGGATTTAGCGATCACAACGAAAACGACCAAAACACACATTGAGCCAAGAAAAATAATGTTATTAAGGGCATATACGCGTAGCTGTGGGTGGGCCTGAGATTTCTCCATAGGATTTTGGAAAAGAGCTCGAAATAAGGTCTGTGGAAAACGAACCTGCTTGATAAATGCACGTTTTGTTCAGCCGGATAATATCCACATGTCTACCCTACTTTTATAATGTTCGAATCATAAATCTAATCGATAGATTCTCTCACTATGACCCAGAAATAAAACGGCGACTGGACGACCTGCCGGGGAACGGGAAATGTAAAAGCCCCGATATCCAGAATGAGATACTGCAAATTGCTGCTTCTTTACTCATCACAACTACATTTGTGTTTATTCTCGTCATGTTCAACACGCTGTTTGAAATGAGCGACTATGCAACACAAGGCCTGCAATGTTCCACTATAACAGTCACAGATTGCATCGATCTAATCGAGGGTCTTAAGGAAAACAGAAGCTGACTTCATTAAACTTGTGACACTGACAGATGATTTGATGAAAAAACACGACATCCTTAACCAGTGCCGATTCTAGAGTCTGTGGGGGCCCTAGGCAAACATTCACTGGGGGCCCCTCGAACCAGCTTTTCATCACCACGCACAGCCGACAGCATAACCTTCCCATCCCATCACTCGTGGAGGTGCTCTCCTCTATGGCAATATTTGTGTGCCTCTATCCTGAGCACGCAATTCAACATTTTGAGCATATAAAATGTTATTGAGCGCTGTAGTGCCGAGAGATAGGGAGTCGGAGGCGGTGCAATGAAGGTACAAAGCTGGCTTTATTGAGCAGCAGAAATGCACATGTTGTCCGGTTGCAGTCCGGGAAGAGAAGGGAGAAAGCGAAAGGGAGGGCATGCAGTAAGTACCAACAACATATGTGTCCGTGTGGAAACAGTACCCCCAACCTGTAGTTCCATGATTGGATTATGTAACCCCAGTGTATGAATCAGTGATCACTACAGCGCGCAATTTAACATTGTTGAGCACAGAAAAATATTTTTTGCAAGCACAATTGACTCTTAAGCCTTCTCACAAGCAGCAAGCAAGCAGACCGCTGCACGCGCTCTCTCTCCCTCGCTCAACCTCACCCGCGCTCAGGTTTGCCTGTGTGCTCGCTCAAGTTGGCACAGGGTTACAAATGTGCCACAAAACCAACCAATCGGAGAACTCAAGGAGGTCCATTCTGACTGGCTTATTTCAGTTAACATACATTTTAGGACATATTAAGTATGTGTGGTCTTGAACGGGCTGGGCCCACCTGATTTGTTTTGGGCCCACCCACTCTTTGATATCTGCCTACCAATGATTAAGGGGCGGGCTGTAAATATAATAAGCCTATGTCTAAAATGGACAACATTGTTAGGAGATTTAATCTATACAGCGATTCTGGACTGCGGTCAACTTCGTTTTTTTCCCCCTGGTATATTTGATGAGTGATACAAATATGTGTTACTATAAGTTCTTGATAAAACTGACACTGTTGGACTCGGTACTAGTTTGACTGCTCCCAGAAATAAAATGAAGTACTTACTGTGTACTTTCTGAGTAATCCTCTGTCAAAGTCCCCATCATAGTACATAATGCATGTTTACTGCTGTCTTTGATGAATGATACAAATAAAATGAACCATTAGTTCTTAATGAAATTGATAATGCTGGACTAGTAGTAGTAGTAGTACGCCTAGTGCCAACAATACAATGAAGTACTTTTACTGTGTTTTTTTTGTAATCCTCTGTCAATGTCCCCTCCTGATCCTATACATGTTCTCCTATACAAGAGGTTTACAAAAAAGACATGCCATTTCATTTTTTTTTTTTTTAGATGATATGAAGCTATACTGCAGACTGGACTTGGTTTGCCACTTTATTTACGCCTTACACAGTCAAGAGGAACAGTGACAACATGGCTGTTAAACAAGAGAGTTAGTGTTTATATTGTAACTGGTCATGAGTTTTAACATTCACGGGCATTTTTGATACAGAAAAACATGATATGTATGAAATGTTATCATAGTGCAGAAAGTAGAGACAGAACAAAGCTCTCTCACACACAGCAATACTACAACATATATTATTATACTCTGCATTAATGCAAAAGCTGCCGGCTGTGTTCACTGATCTCAAAGCAGAAATATCTCCTGGTTCAGTTCAAATAAAATATAATGTTGATATTTGGCGCCACCTAGTGTCAGACATATGTTACTGTTCCTGGTGTCAGTCCTAATAAGGCATGTGGTAAAGACAGACTGTATGTTTTCTAATGTGTGACATTTGATGTGTGTGTCCTCTCACAGGAAGAAGATGATCTTCCTCATCCTGCAGCTCCTCTTCCTCACCTCCTGTGTCTCTGGTTAGTTTGTCTCTTTCAAACTGTCCTCAGTAAAGCAGCACAGAAACATCTGCAGTTCAAAGAGTCTCTCTGTATCTCCTCCACAGGAACATAGCTGCAGTTTAAAGAGTCCCTCTGTGTCTCCTCCACAGAAACATAGCTGCAGTTTAAAGAGTCCCTCTTTGTCTCCTCCACAGGAACATTTGTAGTGAATGTGACTCAGACTTTCTATCAGGCAGAGGAGAACCAGAACATCACCCTGGAGTGGACCTTCAGCACCAGAACAGACACTAACTTCAGCTCCATTAATACCATCTGTCACCTGTTTAATAAAAAGCGAATCTCAGTTCTGTTTGAACTACGTGAAGGTGTTGAAACCAGAGTGTCTCAGGATCCAGAGTTTACAGTACGACTCAAGTGGGACAAAGACCTCCTCACAGAAGGACGCCTCACATTTCATGTCTCCAGACTCAGGACCAATGACTCTGGGTTTTATGTGTGTGACATACACACATCTGATGGGAGTAACTCTAGGAATTGCTGGCTCAACGTCACTGGTGAGTAACCTCAGTAGAAGTCTAGAGGCTCCATAGAGCTAAATACTAATGCATCTACGTCAAGTATGTTGCCGCTAATATTGGATCATATTCGCCAAGAATTGAACAGTTAACATTTTGAAAAGGAAATAGCAGATACTCAACAAAGTATGAATGAAAGACCAAAAGAGTCCTGCTGCTCAAATCTCAAGAACGGCTTGTTTTAACTGTTTAAAATGTGCACAACTCATTTTAAAATAAAACTCTTCTCACAAACCAACTGTGATCCAAACCAGCCCCACACAGAACTCATTTTAGTGGAAAAGGGGAAACTGAGAAGCTGGAACCACAGGAGGTTTTTCAGAAGAATGGAGGTTGCAGATTGTCATGTTTTCACTCTAGATTAAACCTGTTATATATTAACACTAAAATGGTTCCTCATGTTATATTCTGTCCTTTTCCACAGCTGCTGAAGAGCTCCAACCTCAGAGACCACCAGAGAGTCCACAACCAGAGAGTCTGAGAAGACTCGGGCTTATCGTTGGAGTGTCAGCAGCTGTTCTGGTTCTCTTTGTCAGCATGGCCTGCATTGTTTTAATAAGATATAAGAGAAGAACCCACAATGCAGCCATGCATACGGGGAGTTTATCAGAGAAACAAACCATCCGGACTTACATATCTCTGTCTGAATCTGAGCATAAAGTGAGACTCTCCAACATCTGATTTAAGAGTCAGAAAAGAGCAGTGTAACCTCTGTAAAGTGTATTTGTTATTTATTTATTTCAGCCTTCACTGAGAGTTTTATCATTCAGCTGTAAGGTCATCAAACCCTTTGTTTACTGATGGATATTGTTACCATGCTGCACTTAATGTGCTTTTATAAATGTTACACATTATAAATAAATCACTTTTTATTTACTTTTTTAGTTATTCTGCACAATCTGCACTGCATGTCCTACAGGAGGAAATATTTGGAAATGTTAAATTGGATCGACTTGTAAATGTTGAAAATGTTTTATTCCTTTCTGTTATAATAAAAGTGTTTATTCTTTAACACTATTGTTCATCCTCATGTCTCTCTGCTTCATGAACACTGCAGCTGCCTTGAATAGAGCGGTGCAGGGATGACGTATTCACCCTGAAGTAAGCTGCTGGTTCCCTTGACAAAAAAGCGATGGGATTTCTCCATAGGATTTTGGAAAAGAGCTCGAAATAAGGTCTGTGGAAAACGAACCTGTTTGATAAATGAACGTTTTGTTCAGCCGGATAATCTCCACACGTCTACCCTACTTTTATAATTTTATAATCATAAATCTAATCGCCAGAAGCAAAATGCTAACGTTATGCTATAAAGGAACTACAGCCGAGTACAGCAGCACGACTTCAACGTCCCGCCAACTTAAGATCCATATACAAACATACAGATTCAAAATGGTACGAGTTGAAGCGTTTGTTTTAACAGTTTGCAGGAGGCAGGTACCTGCTTTCAAGCAGAACAGGGCAAACAAACTTAGCGGGAGTGTTTACCTGTTCGGCGTAATGACGTACAACGTCCTTGACAACTTCTGTAGTCCTATTCAACAAAACGATAGGTTACGTATTGTAACCCTAGTTCTATAAGCACAGGCGGAAGCCCTCTACTGGACTCTATGGGGACTACTCTTCATCAATGATACGTGAGCGTTCACACACTGAATTTGCATAATTGTAGCCAGCCAATCAGGGCGAGCCTATCTGAATGTGAGTGCAGGCCTCACAGTATATAAAGCAGCTACACCTCCTGACTGTCATCCTACACCCTCTTCAGCGAGCGGCATAGGAAAGACAGAGCCCCTACATTACATGTCACTTGTTAGACGCTTTTATCCAAAGGGGTTTGAACCTGTGACCCCCTGATTCGAACACCAATGCACAACCCACTGCGCCACACGCCTCCTAGGTAGAGGGCTCCGCCTGTGCTTATAGAACTAGCGTTACAATACGTAACCTATCGTTCTATCTCACACAGGCTCCGCCCTCTACTGGACTCTATGGGTACAGTGGGCTGTCGCTGATCGGAGACCCAGCGGAAAAGACCTCCAGTCCATCGGGAAGCACCAGCATCTTCTGACACTATAGGGGAGGAGCAGCAGAACGAAAACAACAACAACCCTTGTAAGATACTTTATAAATATGCAAACACAAACTACAAATCCAAAATTCCATATGTGCAAAAGGGGCACAGATTTACGGATGTAAAAGATAGTCTGGGAAATGGTAAAGTGCAATAAATGAATACTATGATCTGGTGCACACTCTCTTCTAAAAGCATTATTAAGAGGTCTTAAACAAGGATATTTGGCTTGAAAGAGATCACTATTTGTATACGGAAATTAAACTAATGCTAATTGTAAACATCACAAAATGATCAAATTGCTGCTCATTGTGTCACTTTTTGGAATTTGTTGATCAACTGAGGGCAGAATTAAATGTACAAATACAATAACTGTACTTAAATAATAAGCCTTTTACTTTAACCATGAAAGGTACAAAAGGGTATTTAGCTAAACATCTTTGATTTAATATATTTGGGAAAATATAGCTATGTTAAATTGGAAATCTGAAAGTTATACTTGGTCTTGATCTTACATTTTACAAAGGGCAAAATAAATGAATGTACAAATACAATAATTATAGTATATCGTACTTTCTTAAGTACATTTTGCTGTCAAATTTGTGTACTTTTTACTAAGATAAGATCCTAAATGCAGGGCTTTTTTTACTGAACAACATTGCTAAAAGATAATAGTGGCTTACAAATAAATCAGTAAGCTAATAGGCTTTAAACGCTTAGCAAGAAATGTACAATTGGTGTATTCTGCTAAATATTTTAGGGAAATATATATAGCTAAATTAAATCTAAAACTCATAGTTATACGTATTGATCTTAGGTTCATTTTGCTGTGAATATTTCTGTACTTAAAGATGAAAGCAGGACTTTTACTTGTAGTATTTTTACTGAAGGATATAGTAAAGTATGCTAATAGCCTACTAGCTAAAGAAGTCAGATGAAGAAGTTAGCTACATTTTCTCCTTTAGATATGCAAAGTGGATTCTGCTATTTACTTTGAATGAATATTTTGGGAAAGTTAAATGTAAAATCTTCTTGTTTCCTTCTTGTTTCTTTAGCGGTTTGCTCCAGTGACCCGTTTGTTGAAATAAACCTGGAAGATCATCTCCTCACCTCCTCTGAAGCTCCTTCCTCCGTCCTGCCCTTCTCTCCTTTCTCCTTCTCCTCTTCTTCCTCTTCCTCTTAGCACCTCCAATGATCAGAATCAGAATCGTTGTATTACCAAGTAGGTTAAGAGATATTAGGAAGTCACCTTGGTGTATTTGGTGCACACATAAACACAGTCAAAGAAGATCAATTGTAAGAAAAGGACCATAAAATAAAACAAGGTTAAAAAAAACGATTTAACAAAAAATATTATAACATTAAAATACAGCAATATTTACATGAAATATAGATATATATATACCCGTAAAAAAAATATATAATAAAATGAATTGTGCGCAGCATTGGTATGATGAAGGGTACTTAAAACAAACACACACACACACACACACACACACACACACATACCATGTATACATCACTTCAGGGGACATTACATTGACTTACATGCATTTCCTGGAGACTTATCCTAACCTTAACCATAACCAACACATGCCTAACCCTAACCCTAACCAAGTCTTCACCCTAAAATTAATGATTCCCCTTATGGGGACCTCCATTTTGTCCCCATAAGGGAGGCGAGTCCCCACACGTGACTGTGTAAACAGATGTAGGTTCCCACAAGTATAGTAATGCTAGGACACACACACACACACACACACACAGGACTTTTTGTCCTCAGATCAGTGAAACAGCAGTTAGCTCAGTTAGCAGAAACTACCGTTAGCTAGCTAAGCTAACTGGCTAAGCTAACTAGCTAGTAGGATGACTAGGCAGTTTATTTGTATTGCCGTTTCAAATGTATTAGGAGTATTAATACATATAGAAATAACAAGTAAACAGACAGCGACAGTACCTGTAGAATATGACTGTTAAACAGATATACATTCATATTTTAAAAAGCTATTTTGTGAAGTTATACACCTCTCTGTGTAAAATACTAGAAACTGAAATCATGTAGGACTTTTTATTTGTAGTATCTTCAGTATTTTTACATAAGATTGTTTTTTTTTATTTGTTTTTCCGAAAATAAATTTTACTGCTGACATTTTGCTTAAATGAGATGGGTTTTGGATCAGACTGACATACAAATGTGTAACGTTGTGTTGTATAAACAAACTGATGTTGTTTTTTAATCATGTTGCCTTGTGTTAGTGTTTTCAGTGGCTTGTAATTATATTTTGAATAAATCAGAACTTTTTCAGGAGTTGTACAACTGATATTTTTCACAATTGCTAGATCTGTTTACATTTTTTAAATAAAATTCACTTTTCCTGTCCTATTTTTGTACTCTGTTCCAAATGTGTACATAAATAAGATGTCATAGGAAAGAAAGAGTCCACAAAACTAACTGTGGGAAACTTTAACTTGTTTAACTCAGACTTGAAAACCGTTAAGCTTAGCTAATCTTTAGATTTTTACACAGAAACAGCACCAGGATAAATCTCTTTAAAGGCCAGTGTACAGAGATACCAGGAACTAATGGCTGCTCCAATTGCACATAATATGCATGTTTTAAGACAGATTAAACTAAATGTAGGCTTTTCTTTGACGAAAGCACTCTGAGACAGCAGACTAGCTCAAGTTAACAGCTAGATGCTAAATACACTGGCTTTATAATGGATCGACCCTGAATGAAGTCATGCTACGAGCAAACTTGACAAATAAAAGCGTCTTTCTTTAGAGCCCTCATCTGAAGTCTGCCATCAGGTGTGTAAATACTGAGGGGCTAATTGGGAAATGTGAAACAGGTGTGAAGTGTGGGAGTCATGTGATTTTGAACATACAAGTAAGACTGAGGCCATCTGGTGGATGGAGGAAGAATTGCATGTTCGAGGTGTTAATAAACAGATAATGCATGCAACACTAAAGTAGAAAGTCTCTATGGAATACACAATGTAAAATATAAACACCTTAGAATACACTATAAAAGACCAAACTACTACAATCAAAACATGAAAATACAAACGTAAGAAAATGTGCAAAGTAGTTGGTTATTGCAATGTGGTAGATGGTGAGTTTAAGATGTGCAGATTGTGCAGGGCTATACAAAAAGTAGACATAGTGGAGAAAAGAAGAATAGCCCTGCAAGCTTCTTTTGATCAAAAGATGAATCGAAGAAAAGAAAAATAACAATTTACATTTTCTTCCTTTGTTATAATTTTAATGAAGACATACTGTAAAAGCTTAAAAAAACATGAAAGTGCAGTGGATATATTGCAAATAAAATGCCAAGCAGTAAATAAGTGCATCAAAAAAAATTATTAAAAGAATCATGAAAAACTTGGCCTAGGTATTTGCTACAATCATAACCTTTTTTGTATTATTTAACCTTTATGTATGTATGAGAAGTCTCATTGAGTTTAAACACTGTGATGGCTAAGATAGGCCATCACAGTGTCAGTTCATGTTGCAGCTGATGGGTTCCCCCTGTTTTACGACAGATAGATCTGCAATAATCTTGAATAGCACCAAGAACAGTCGTATAAATAACGATGTGCCATTAATCCCTGAAGATTTAGAAAATAAATGATCATTTTGGCTTTTTTTTTGTATCCAAAGGGGTAGGGTTGTGTTCTGAAACATATAAATACTATAAGGTTTGACAGTTTGACAGGTTTTTCTTTTTAAATAAAGATTAGCTTTAACAGTGCAAACGATTTTAAACTCTGGCCACTGAGACTCCACGATTCTGATTGGCTGGTAGAAGTGGATTTACTCTCAGTAACAGTACTCAACTTTAAGTAACAGGACAGTGTAACCATAGTGTCCGTTGCAGTTCACAGTACCAAGACATAAATAAGACTGTGTGATTTGTGCATAAGTGAGGCGT